AACCTCAGACTAAATCTCAGTGTTAACTGTAAAAAAAACTAAGTCTATTTATCAGTAAAATACGGAAAAATGAAAATATATATTTTCAAAATTTTGCTCTGGGTACTGTATTTTGGTCGTCATAAACAAGCTTCTGTCCATGAAGGTTTGACAAAGTTATTGATGTCTAAAAAAAACTTTAACCACAGACTGAACCTAAATGTTGACTCTGCTGACGACAATCCCGACGACAGAATCTAGGATTGCTGTGTCTCGCTTTCACGAAATAAATGTGGCAGGCTCGACAATAATGTGTTATAACCGCAAAGTCTAACTGATATTTGCAAATCAGTTGCAGAAAACAAAATAGTTATACACACAAATACAAAGTCTGCATGTCTCTGTATCTCCTTCTCCATTTACAAAAAATAGTTGCAAAGTGATGGCAATTGTTTATCAAGGGACCTTTAATTGAAAATGACCATCCATAAAATATTTCTGTAAAGATTGATGCACACTTGACTTGGTAAGTCTAGAAAAGCAGGTTAACATATGATTTTTCCATTGAATTTCACTGGTATTCATGTGCCACCAGTGCAACAATTGTTGCCAGTTGAATGTGATTTTCCAGAGTTTCCATGGGAACTATGTACAATCATGTTTGCAAACTGATCAAATTTAAATAAGGAACACCTATAGTGTGTCATTCATGTTAAGTTTCAAAACAAATGGGCAATCAGAATCAAAATTGCCTCTGGAAACCTGTTTATCTAGTATATAGCAAATGGTTTTCCACACATCATTCCTGTTACTGGTTTGTTTAAAATTAGCCAAGTATATTCTTAGAAGATGATGAAAAATTGACTCTCTATAGGATTTCAATGGGAACTATGGGCTGCCAATGCCATCATGTTTTCCACCTAATCAAAATCAAACGAAGATCATTTTAGAGGGTCTTGCATCAACAATCCTCTAACCTTTCCAACTTTTCTTCATGTTGTTTTAGATGAGATAGCTTTTGAAAATCAGCCCATCAGAATCAAAGGCTGCCTCCTTCAACCATATTTGTAATCTGATAGAAACCATATGAGAATTATTTAGAGGACTTTTCATACATCATATCTGTCAAGTTTAAAATTAGTTCAGCTTTTGCAAAGAATATGAAAAAAGATCAGTTAGAATGATGACAAACACCAGTGGTGTCTTTAACTTACATGGACTTCAGGTCAGAAAAACTGATAAAGCTTTTGACTTGTATATCAGCATTTACAAATGCTATTTCATAGGTGTGTGTATGACTTTCAGATTACTTACAATACAAAACTGATGAACAAACTGAACATAATTACTTTATGACTTTATGACTTATTAAGACCTCACATATGTATGTAAATCCTTATGCAACAGAGAAGCAAATACCATTGGTGTATCATCACTTTATTTCTTAATAAACTTAATAACTTAATTTAACTATTATACAAAATATCAAAGTGATCAAGTCTTCAATATAAAGAACCTACTTTCATTGGTCTATACAAAAACAAATACCAACAAGTTGTTGGCTATTAGTGTGTTTTCTGCATTTATTTCAATCATTTATCATCAATTTCTTCTTCTTTTGAAACATTTCAGATTTTTCCTCAGCGCTGTGTTGTTTTAATAAAGGGATGTAACACCACTACTAAATGTGTATTAAAACAAACCATGCCTAATAACCCCAAATGAAATATACAGTCTCCATGTGGTCGCTTGTAACCAATGATACTCCTAGAAATGTATAGGAGGTAAAATAAATTGTTATCTCTAATAACAATTAACCAATTGTAAGGTGTTCCTCATAAAGCTATTTGAACAAGTTTCAAGGTCACTGAAGCTTTTCTGGGAGTACAGGACATCATATTCAGTTTCAAATGATATACAAAAATTATGCAACAATATACAAATATAAAGGGTGTATAACTAAAATTTCTCTATGAAACACAATTTATCAGGCACCTTACCATTTTAACATGGTATAATATCCAAGGTATTGGGGTTGGTTGGGAATCATATTCTTTTCCAACTGTAAGAATGCTAATAAAACATACCAAATTTTACAGGTTTATCATAATTACTTTCTGACAGACTAAATAAATTGCTTCACCAAGCTCAGCCGGATACGACCGCAGAGGTCCAACCCTGAACAGTTGGGGCAAAAATGGACACAATATTCGCGCTTGATACAGGTCTGAATTTGGATTGTAATTAAATATTTGACACATAATAGGTTTCTGACACAGAATAACTGTAGTCAAAGAACTTAGAATTGGTTATATGATTTGAATTTATATTCAATTTTTTGCTTTTGTGCAATACACTATGCTATGGCAAATTGACCCCCCTCCCTTTTTCAAAAATATTTGAAGAAATTTTCTTTTTAATTTCTGAAATCTGAAATGAGAAAAAATTGTCCCCCCTCACAATTTCTTTTATACACACCCCCCCCCCCCCCCCCCCATTTTTTTTTCACCTCCACCCTCATTTTTCCAAAAAAAAAAAATTCTCTCAAGATATGGTCATAATCTCAATTCAAATTTCCAATGGAGTTTGCAACCATAATTACCCATTTAAATACATCATAAAAGTCTTAAAATAGAAATAACATACATTATCATGGCTAAAATTAATATTCCTTAATCAGCATTTTTAAATAGTAACTTCTAAAAATAAATTGACAGCTAATCACCTCAAGACAATACAACATTTCTTTAAACATAATTCAAAAGCAGTGTAAGTGAGGTAATCCAAACATAACATTGTACTCTTTTTTTTAACTGTCCATTAACCAGGAAACCCTTGTTTTCCCCCCTTTTTTGCCCCTTATTCCTAAACGGTTTGAGCCATAACCCCCCAAAGCCAATCCTAACCATCCCTTTGTGGTATGGAAACTTGTGGTATGATTTCAGAGAGATCCATACACCGTTCCACAAGTTATTGTCTGGAAACTAGAAAAATGCTTATTTGGGCCCCTTTTTGGCCCTAAATTCCTAAACTATTAGGACTATAACCCCCAAAATCAATCCCAACCTTCCTTTTGTGGTTATAAACCTTGTCTTTAAATTTCATAGATTTCTATATACATTTACTAGTTATTGTCTGGAAACCAAATGTCTTTGGACGACGCTGACGACGACGTGATACCAATATACGACCCCAAATTTTTTGCGGTCGAATAAAAAGGGGAGGATTGAGATCTTAAAGGATCTCTGTGTTGATAGTATATTTTCATATTCAATGTTAAATTTATTCACACCCTATTTTAGACTCAGCAATTTAGAGTTTGATATGTTGCATGCTATAATGTTGACCACTGTATGTTGACCTCTAGATGTTTTTTTTGGTATTAGCGTCATTGAGTTGATGACTCATTTATGTTAACCCTTTATCTCTTTTTGTTCATAATATTTGAAAAATGTCAAAATCTAAATAAATGAAAAATGACATAAAGGATGGTCTCCTGTTATGTGTTTATGCAATAATACATAAAAAGGATAACAGGAATCATCAAAAATACTGAACAGTGCAACAGATCACCTCAACCACCAACTGGGGGCCTCTATGGCCAAGTGGTCTAAGTAGTCAAACTACTGTACCAATAGCCAGTCAACACTGAGGTTGTGAGTTTGAATTCCACAAGTGCCAGGTGCACTCAACTCCGATCTTAATTGACTAGGATTGTCAGTTTTCCTACCAAAGGTCGTGGTTCTCTCCGGCTTCCTCCACCAATAAAAACTGACCGCCACGAAATAGCACAATAGTTTTAAAAGTGGCGTTAAACAGCAATCAATCAATCAATCAATCAACCACCAGCTCCTCCAAACAAAATGAAATAAAATAACAGACATATGAACAAAGACAAGCAATACATAATAAAATGCTACGCTGAGCGAAGCCTTATACGACTGCAGAGGTCGAACTCTGAACTGTTGGTTCAAATTTGGACACAATATTCAAGCTTGATACTGTCTGAATTTGGATTGTGATCAAATTTTTGACATAATATAGATTACTGACACAAAATAAATGTGGTCAAAGATCTTACAAATCTATTGCCCAATACTGTGCAATTGAAGATTTTTTCTTGAAACTTTTCAAAAATTCAAAATTTGAAAAATTTTGAAAAAAAATATGAATCCTCTAAAAAAAATTTGGAAAAAAAATCCCCCCCCCCCCCCCAACTTTTTGAAACCCCCCTTGGTGCAATAAACCCAAAACTCGATACCAGCCTTTCCTTTGTAGTATGGAACCTTGTAGTACAATTTCAGAGAGATCCATACACTTAAACACAGGTTATTGTCTAGGAACTAGAAAAATGCGTGTTTTTGGCCCATTTTTGGCCCCTAATTCCTACATATTTGGGCAATTAACCCAAAACTCAATCCTAGCCTTCTCTTTGTGATATGGAACCTTGTGGTACAATGTCAGAGAGATCCCTACACTTACACACAAGTTATTGTCTGGAAACTAGAAAAATGCTTGTTTTTGGCCCCTTTTTGACCCTTAATTCCTAAACTGTTGGCCCCATAACCCCTAAAATAAATCCCAACCTTCTACATGTGGTATTAAACATTGTCGTACAATTTCAGAGCAATCGAAATACTGATACACAAGTTATTATCCTGAAACTAGAAAAATGCTTGTTTTGGGCCACTTTTGGGCCCCTAATTCCTAAACGGTTGGGACCATCATCCCCAAAATCAATCCCAACCTTCCTTTTGTGGTATTGAACCTTCTTATAAAATTTCATAGAGATCCATTCACTTAAACTAAAGTTATTGTCCGGAAACCAATGTGACGACGACATCATACCATTATACGATCCCATAAATTTTTTTGCAGTCGTATAAAAACACAAGATTATGCCAAGGCATACCCAAATGGGTGCAAAATCTAAAGTGTGTTTAGCGTCTGAAAAAATAACCTTTGTCTCACTTCTGTTACTTCATTTTAGATAACACTCAATTCTTCAAAAAAACTAAAACTTGTGTGTAACATTATTTATTAAATACATAAGATATTGATATTAGAAACAAAAATCTTGGCATGCAGTAAGCTTTGCATAATGACAATTTTACTGAACACCAGTATTTTAGGAAAAAAATAAATTACAAAAACACAAAGAAACACACATGATTCTACAACCAAACCTAATTACTATGTAGTTTTCAACATTTAATGCTGGAGAAATATTTTCTGACATACAAAGGAATGAATACAATAACCATCCAGGAGCTTGCTAATTGTGAGTTGTATCATATAAGCAATGTTCATATCTGCTATGCTGCCACTTCCTGTCTAGGAAAGGTTAAAAGAAGTGGGATATAAGAAGTGCAGCATCTCCTACAAAATTATATTATTATTCGCAACAAAACATTCATATTTAAGCTGAATTGCGTTTTTATAAAACATTAGCCTAGGTTAAACAACAATGAAGCATCTATATACTCAAAAGCTAGCATAATGGAAAATATTTGTTATAAAAATGAGAAACAAGAAATCAATGATGTAATTATGATGTTCTTTCAGTAAAGATGCTCAAAATGAACAATTACAATATTTTAGGAATGACTATAAAACCGAGCAATATTTTCCCACTCCTTATAGGAATTTATTGTGTATTTTTGGAAATATGTTTACCAATTTTCACACCAAGTTGTCTCTGTACCTAAGTATAATTTACTAAGAATGTCAAGTAAAAGTTAAGTTTCTTACATGTTAAAAAAAATATCAAGCTACAAAATTCTATATTAATGTTCCCGATCCATTTGAAATCAAATCAAATATTTTGTCAGTAAGAAATTTATACCGTTATATAAATCGTCAAGAGATTTTCCAATGCATTCAAATGATAATATGTACTGCAAATTGAATAACAGAAATATGTAAAACAATTATAACACATGGAAAAATCATTAACTTTTAAAGTTTATCTAATTTACACATTCACATGCAATCAATTTGATCAATGTTCAACTTAAATCAAATTTTATATCCTAATTTCTATTTACAGTTCTATAATTTAATTCCAATATAACAAAGTCCATAAAATATTTCAGGAAGCTGTAGAACGACTAAACATTGATAGAATTTTAATTTCTAAATGTCTTTATCAAGATTTTTAACCAAGTGAGGAACAAAAGAATATAAAAAGAATTCCTCAAATTAAAAGTTAAAATTCCATGTATGAATTGATTATATTAATGGACAGTAAGATTTTTATGAAAATTGTCTTCATTTAGAAATTGCTAAACTCCATTTGAATATCGAAAAACAGATATACATATCATTTATACTTCCAGATATACAATTGACAATAAATAAGTTAAAAGATCTATAAATGTATAGAATGTATGTAAAAATGCATTTTAAATTGTGATTTCTTGAAATTATGTGCAAAGATTTAAACAAAATATTATATGTTATTTCCTTTTATTATTGATAATCGTTTTGTAAATAAACTAAATATAATTCTAATTGTTAAGATAAACTCTGTTCACTGTGAATGTGGCTTAAATTTGATTATATCAATAAATGTGCCATGACATATACATGCATACCTATTGTAGATGGATTTCACATGCTGCTACAAAGAATTAAACTGCATTTTAAATTCACAAAAAAAGACAAAAAATTGTTGCACAGGTCAATGGTTTGACAATAGTAATCAATTAATTTCATTGCATGTGCACAACTTATGATTGCATATTACTGTAAATAATATTAAAAACTACAGATCATTGGATAACTGTTTATATAAGACATTTATATTTCATCTTCATCACTGAAACCTAAATCTTCTTCAGGATAGTCACCAACTTCTACATTTTCTGGTCTCACAAATGCTCCATATTTGTCTGGACATTCAAAATATCTTTTACCTTTAACACTGAAAACAGAGAAATAGAAAGTTAAATACAGGACTGACTCTATAGGGCACTGAAAACAGAGAAACAGAAAGTTAAATACAGGACTGACTCTATAGGGCAGCACAAATCTTATCAAGCTAGTCAAATACTAAGTAATACTTGCATAAATGGGGTTCAACAGTCGGGTCAATAAATATACCCTTATATAATATTTGTAAAACTAACATGACTAATATAAAGACAAACTGGGCCAATGAATACAGCTTCCTAAAACATTATTTTTTACTCAAAAGAATAATGTAAAAAAAAGATAGATCAGTTCTATGATTCGTATGAACAAACAGTTTTTCAGGCAGATTAAAAATGCTAAATTTAGATTTGTGATGAAATTGCCAAAGGAATTTCCATTAAAAAAAAATCCTTAAATGCTAGTTACATTGCTAGATGGACGATTAACTACTCTTCAATTCTTTTTCTTTTTTTTTTGCAACTAATCAAAATTGATTCAAACTACAGTTTAAGGTATTCTTAATTCATGCATTCTATGCTGGACCAATCTATTGACTTTAATTAGATCTTAAATAATAAAGGAGAACATCTATTCTGGTGACACTTGGGCTTCCTGGGAGGCAGGGAAAAAGGAATTATTAAGCAAACAATATATATTTAGCTGCTTTAATTGGATCAAACAGTAAAACCACTAACTTAAGTAACATCTAAACACTAGCTTTCTTTAAACCATGGACATTAGTGTCAACTTTTGTATAGAAATACATTCAAAATGATTTTTTTGGTTCACCAATTTCACTGACGATGCCTAATAAAACAGCCTATATACAAATGATGTGATCTTTTTTAAACAAAGGTTACTAGGACTATGATATAACAGTAGGATTGGATCAATATTTACATTACAAGTAAGAGACAAGATGTAACTAGTCCTCATCATGTCATTTAAGGGGATTAGTGATTATGTTCATATGCTAATGCTGAAATGACATTGTTACATATTTGACAACTGCTTCATGTTTTATTTTATATTCAAAATTAGAAACAAATGCTCAATCTAGTCTGAATTCATGATGTTTAAGTAGGATGAGACTAGATCTAATTATTAATAAAATGTCAAACAATTTCAAAATGAATGTGTATTGTCTAAATATAACTTTACTTACTTGTTGCATGATGTAATTTTTTTATGATGATGAAAGCATGACTGTTGTGTGTGATTTGTTTTTTTAAATTTTTGATTCAAACTCCATTTACTATGAGGTATTAAAAATCTCATCACAGTCAGTATAATACAATTCTTTACTCTAGTAGCTCATGAGCAGAGCCAGTGGACAAAATTCTGATAATTTTTTATGGAGTCAGTCTTATATGAAAAAACAAACCTTCCATCATTTTTGCCTAATGGTTCATCATAGTGAACACCTATCCAATAACCTGACTGGAATTCAGTTAAACCTGAAAATAATTATGAAAATAAATTATATCAGGAACAATGCAGTTAAAATGATATTTCATAAGTGATCTTAAATATCACTTTCAGTACTTCTGTTGTTATTTATTGTACTTCTCTATTGATCAATTAATGACATTAAAATATTTTGGTTCTGTTTTAATTTGTGCTTACATTTCACATGAAAATGCACAATTTTTCTACTTTGTATAAACAGGAAACAAGAGTGCACACCCTGAAATTTCTCGCCTTCTTTACTAACCATTGATATTATGTTGATAGTCCTAAATGAAAGCTTTACTACAACTATTACATAAACTTAACATGATCCAAGAAAATGAAGTCAACGGCATATAAACCAAACGAGAAATACATGTACACCTTACAATCATTCAATACACTAAATATAGTTGACCTATTGCTAATAGTTTCTAAGAAACAGACTTAACCAAGAAAACTAAACATTGACCAATGAACCATGAAAATGAGTTCAAGGTCAGATGAACCATGCCAGGCAGACATGTACAGCTTACAAACCTTCCATACAACAAATATAGTTGACCTATTACTTATAGTTTAAGAAAAACAGACCAAAACACAAAAACTTAACACTGAGCAATGAACCGTGAAAATGAGGTCAAGGTCAAATAAAACCTGAGAGACTGACATGTACATCATAAAATATTTCCATACACCAAATATAGTTGACCTATTGCATAAAGTATAAGAAAAAAAGACCAAAACTCAAAAACTTAACTTTGACCACTGAACCATGAAAATGAGGTCAAGGTCAGATGACAGCTGCCAGTTGGACATGTACACCTTACAATCATTCCATACACCAAATGTAGTAGACCTATTGCATACAGTATAAGAAAAACAGACCAAAACACAAAAACTTAACTATAACCACTGAACAATGAAAATGAGGTCAAGGTCAGATGACACCTGCCAGTTGTACATGTACACCTTACAATCCTTCCATACACCAAATATACTAGACCTATTGCTTATAGTATCCGAGATATGGACTTGAACACAAAAACTTAACCTTGTTCACTGACCCATGAAATGAGGTCGAGGTCAAGTGAAAACTGTCTGACGGGCGTGAGGACCTTGCAAGGTACGCACATACCAAATATAGTTATCCTATGTACTCATAATAAGAGAGAAATTAACATTACAAAAAATCTTAACTTTTTTTTCAAGTTGTCACTGAACCATGAAAATGAGGTTAAGGACAATGGACATGTGACAGGTGGAAACTTCGTAACATAAGGCATCTATATACAAAGTATGAAGCATCCAGGTCTTCCACCTTCTAAAATATAAAGCTTTCAATAAGTTAGCTATCACCGCCGCCGCCATCCAGATCACTATCCCTATGTCCAGCTTTCTGTGACAAAAGTCGCAGGCTCGACAAAAACCTAAACTGTACAACTTTTATTTTTTCAATTCTCATGAAAAATTAGTTTTAATTGATGAAAGTCAGACTTCCGGTGATGATATGCAATGATGAAGTGTTCATTGTCTCTCTTTCTTCGTAATTCTCATATGACAAAAAAATAATAATTTCATGTTGGGCTTGCTTTCTTATTTCATTTGAATTAATTGTACAATTCAAAGTACATTTGTAGCATTTTTTTAAGTAATCTTTTCTTTAAGTGACATGTTTTTGCCCAATTTACACCTTTGATGATTGTTAATCTGTTGATCATTCGATCTAAGGGTTAATTAGTGTCATCTCTTCTGATAACACGTGTGCAACAATTAAAATGTTAACTTTTGCAATTTCCTTCAATCAAGACAATGTGTAAGCATAGATGAATCAGCTTATTTCCAAAAGCAATTATTTTATTCTTGAATCTTCGTTTCTGATGGCTTCAAATTCTTCACTTGATTTTTTTCACAAAACTAAAATCCACTAATTTAAGAACCCATGAACATGTAATTGCTCAAACCATGAAAATTGATAACCACGAATAAAAGTACTTTCACAGTACAAAATATTCCTATATTGGAAATGAAAAAAACACAATATTTCTACATTGGCAAAGAAAAAACACCCTAAGAAATGGATATCCTATCCCCAACAGATGGACAGTTCTAAAAATAAAGTCATTTGTAAGATGAAAACAAGAAAAGTGTCAATTCCTACCTAGTATATGTCTAAAGTATTGAGGACATAACAGAATTAGAAGTACCTGTTTTGTATTATTAAACTTCCAGGAACCAGTGTGCTCCAATATACAATTAAATGTATGTTGAATTTTTCAGCACAAGTCAGGATAAGGTATAGTTTTAAATTGAAATGACTGTAACTTTATTTGAACTTAAGACAAAGTAGCCATTAATACTTGAAATTGCAGAATTCAACATAGAAAGCAATGGGGCTATGAATTAGTGGTTTTCTTCCTTTTAGAACGATAAATGTTGATAATGATTGAAGCTGATAACAGTAATAGATAAAAGTACTCCCTCATACCCCCAGCTGCTTAACACAAAAAATTTAACATATTATTTTCCTTACCTACATATTTTACTGTCCCCCTTTTGGCAGGCTGACCAAGAGTTCTAACCTCGCATCTGAAAAATTAATTTATTAAATAGAACATTTCTTAAACATGAATACCAGTTAAGGAAGACATAGAGTCTGCTACAAACTGAAATGTATGGAAAATTATACAATAACATATATATAAATGGTCTACTATCATAGGTTTTTTCATAACTCACATGGAATCATAAACAATCCAACAGTTAAAAGATTAACTGATAGCTAGTGAGAGATCAGGCCCTTATATATTAAATGTGACATACATGTATAAGAAATAGCAATAATCTATCACAAATAATTGATCTAAAATGAGCCTAATGACAAAACTTAACATACAGTTCTGATAAGACCCTTATAACATGTATAATACTGATAAACAATATCACCAATATGTGACGTCACTAGTGAATGATCTTTGTATCAACACCTGTAGAAGGTGATATCGCCAGTGAATACCATTGTATCATCAATCTGTGGTGTCTCCAGTAAATCACCTTTGTATCGCCAATCTGTAGTCTCACCATTAAAACATCTTTGTATCACCATCATTGATGTTTCCAGTGAATCACCTTTGTATCACCGATCTGTGATGTCATAAGTGAATAGATTTGTATCACCAATCTGTGATGTCATCACTGATCCACCTTTGTATCACCAATCTGTGAAATCACCAGTGAATCACCTTTGTATCATCAACCTGTGATGTCACCAGTGAATCACCTGTGTATCACCAATCTGTGATATCATCAGTGAATCAGCTTTGTGTCACCAGAGAATCATCTTTGAATCAACAATCTGTGATGTCATCACTAAATCACCTTTGTATCACCATCAGTAAATCATCTTTGTATCACCAATATGTGATGTCATCAGTGAATACCTTTGTTTTGCTTATCTGTAATGTCACCAGTGGACCACTTTTGTATTCCCAATATGTGTCACCAGTGAATCACCTTTGAATCATAATCTGTGATATCACCAGTGAATCACCTTTAAATCACAAACCTGTGATGTCACCAGTGAATCACCAATTGGGATGTCATCAGTGAGTCACCTTTGTATCATCTGTGATGTCTCAAATGAATACCTTCTTGTTACCAAACTGTGATGTCTCCAGTGATTCACCTTTGTACCACAGCCTGTGATGTCAACAGCGAATACCTTTTTTTTCACCAATCTGTGATGTCATCAGTGAATCACCTTTGTATCACCAATATGTGATACCACCTGTGAAGTCATAGGTTGACAAAACACAGGGAAAAATACATTTTCAATTTCATATAATTTGAGAGAAAAAAACACCAATGAAATATATTGTATATGCTATCATTATATGATTGCTTTTAACATTTCCATACCTGTCACCAACTTTCATGGTTTCAGCTTTAGTTTTTTGTTGTAATTCTTTTTCTTTCTTTTCCTCTTCCTTTTTTTTCTGTTCTTCAGGATCCGTTTCAGCAAAGCGACCCATTTTATTTCTCTCTTTAAATGCTCTTACAGAATCTAAAGTCAGAACATAACTTGAACTGGTGATTGATTATAGTAAACTATTCTAATAGTTGATCTTTATTTCACTAATCAATTTAACAGATAAATTCATTTCTTGAATTCTATCACATTCATCTTTGTATTAACAAGCATTCTGAGAGTATTGCATGGCAATACATAGTCCCCTACCGGGTAAAAATTCATTTTACTGGAACAAAATAAATTCGTTTTACTGTTCTATAACTTGTCATGGTGTAAACAAAAAGTAAATATCATGTCAATATCTTCAAGCATGACTAAAAACAGTGTGGAAAACTGATTATATGAGTGAAAAAAACATTAGATATGTTTTATAGTTCTCTAAAATTAGATATGATGTAATACAGTGTATATCTATTTTCAAATTATAATCAAATATAATTAATAGTTCCAAATATTTTTTCTTTCATTTGTCACAAACTAATATAGATTTGTAACTTATCTATAAAATGTCAACAACATTTATCTTCACAATGTAATGTATTGAAATATATGCATTAATAAAAATAGATTATTATCTAATTAAAGGATTTCTCTTCATAAATTTTTCTTTATATATATATAGCATTCAGAAAATTAGTTTTACTAAATAACAAACAAACCTGCTAAAAAATTCTTCAAATAATTTAACAATGAATGTCTTTTAAAAAATGACTTATCTCCCTTTGTACAGAAATATGGTTTTACATAGTACTCTAACATAAGATATGGTCCAGAGTAATGGTCCATAATTCTGGACTAAATTATCAGACCGGAACAAAATTCGAACTTGATCTGTAACTTGTCATGATAAAACAATATACCAAATATCAAATCAATATCTTCAAGCATGAAGAAAATAAAATGAATTTGGATTGTAATTAAATATTTGACACATAATAGGTTTCTGACACCGAATAACTGTAGTCAAAGAATTTAGAATTGGTTATATGATTTAAATTTATATTCATTTTTATGCTTTCTTGCAATACACTATGCTGTTGCGAATTGACCCCCCCTCACCCCCCCCCAAAAAAAAATTTCTTTTCCTCAAGATATGGTCATAATCTCTTAAATAGATAATTTAAAAGCAGTGTAAAGGAGGTAATCCAACATTGTACAACATTGTACAATTTTGTTTTTGGATTACCTCCCTAAAACTGCTTTTAAATTGTCCATTAACCAGGAAACCCTTGTTTTTTTCCCCTTTTTTGCCCCTAATTCCTAAACGGTTTGAGCCATAACCCCCCAAAAGCCAATCCTAACCATCCCTTTGTGGTATGGAAACTTGTGGTATAATTTCAGAGAGATCCATACACTTAAACACAAGTTATTGTCTGGAAGTTACAAAAATGCTTATTTTTGGCCATTAATTCCTTAACTGTTGGTACCATAACCCCCAAAATCAATCCCAACCTTCCTTTTGTGGTATTGAACCTTATGGTAAAATTTCATAGAGATCCATTCACTTAAACTAAAGTTATTGTGCGAAAACCAATGTGTCTTCTGACGACGCCAACAACGACGCCAACGTCATACAAATTTTTTGCGGTCGTATAAAAACTTGATCAATTAACAACCAGAATAGGTTAGACCAGGTGAACCCTGTCTGACGGACATTACATCTTACTTGAAATATATGGAGCAAATAAAGTTATATTACTTATAGTAACCACATGGAAACTGAACATTTGTTTTATGCAGCAATTGGACATGTTGAACTATGAAAAAAATATTTGCCAGAGAGAAACTTCAAATCATAAGGCACTGGACACAAAATATGAGATATAAAAGTAAATATTTCATGGAATTGATTATATTGATGCTGCAACATCCCTATGTCTACCATGGTATTGGTTTTAATATCTCATGGCTGTACAGAGTTGTTTTTGTGTAGCATATGTTAACCCATGTTCAATGAATATGCTTGTAAGCAAGATGTTATGTATGCAATGAAGGGCTAAAATTATGTGTTGTCCATGCAGGCAAAGTACTGAACTGTCCCATCTGGAATAATGATTTGAATTTAATTTAAAAAAAATTTAAGATCAAGAATTACATAACTACAAAATCATTAATGATCCATGGAAATTAGGTCAAATGAACTTTAAACTAGGGGCATCTATCTGTATCATGATATTTTTAACCTTCTGACATGTACAAATTTAGAGATGGTTCAATCTCTGTAACTTTTAATATAATACTGCCTTTTTCAATTATAATTTACCTGTTCTTTTAGCATAATCATCCTCTTTCATTTCAAATTTCTCAACTTTAGATAAGTCTTCAAATTCTCCCAATTTAATTGTTGAATCTACCACCTATAAAATAAGCAACAGTTCAAAGGGGAGTAACTCAAACACTCCATATGACAAATAGACTATTTTCATATTACCAACTTTTGATTCCGGATTTTATAATTTTTCGATAGGTTACCTACTCTGTGGTAGGACATCCTGGTAGGAGCAACCAAAAGAAGTAAAATCAAACATATAATCGGTGCAGTTTGGCGGAGGGGGGGGGGAGTTTACTGTTTTTCGAAGATTTTGTCATGTATAGAAAACATCCAACAGTTAATTTCCCCCCTAAATTGTATCGATTGTATGCTTGATTTGACTTTTTAAGTTTGCTCTTACTTGACCGAGTACCAAGATGTCCTACCACAGAGAAGGTAACATGTGGAAAAATTATAAAATCTGGAGTCAAAAGTCGGTAATATGAAAAAATAAAATTGAGAATGGAAATGGGGAATGTGTAAAAGAGACAACAACCCGACCATAGAAAAGACAACAGCAGAAGGTCACCAACAGGTCTTCAATGCAGCGAGAAATTCCCGCACCCGGAGGCGTCCTTCAGCTGGCCCCTAAACAAATATATATACTAGTTCAGTGATAATGAACGCCATACTAAACTCCAAATTGTACACAAGAAACTAAAATTAAAAATAATACAAGACTAACAAAGGCTAGAGGCTCCTGACTTGGGACAGGCGCAATAATGCGGCGGGGTTAAACATGTTTATGAGATCTCAACCCTCCCCCTATACCTCTAGCCAATGTAGAAAAGAAAACGCATAACAATACGCACATTAAAATTCAGTTCAAGAGAAGTCCGAGTCTGATGTCAGAAGATGTAACCAAAGAAAATAAACAAAATGACAATAATACATAAATAACAACAGACTACTAGCAGTTAATTGACATGCCAGCTCCAGACTTCAATTAAACTGATTGAAAGATTATGTCTTCATCATATGAATATCAGGCACAATCCTTCCCGTTAGGGGTTTAGATTCATACCATCATAACATATATGAGAAGAACATAACCCGTGTCATGCCAACAACTGGCTTTAAAAAAAAAATGTGTTTAGTGCCGATGCAAAGACCCTATAAGTGAATCAATATTAGCGCCAAAATATGCAATCTTTAATGACCTGACAACAGTATCGTAACTATATCCCTTCTTAATAAGTCTATTTAAAGGTTTTGTTAGCTTCAGAGGTGAATACTGACATTTTTGTGCTTTATAAAGAATATTTCCATAAAAAATTGGATGTGAAATACCTGAACGTATAAGAAGTCTGCATGTTGAGCTATATTTACGAATGATGTCTTTATACCGATGATAAAATTTAGTAAATGTTTTGACTAGTTTGTGATATCGAAAACCCTGGTGTAATAATTTTTCAGTAATACATAAATTTCTCTCGTTAAAATCTAAAACATTGTTACATACACGAGTGAATCGTACAAGTTGAGATATATAAACACCGTAAGATGGTGACAAGGGAACGTCACCATCTAAAAATGGATAATTAACGATAGGAAATGAAAAGTCTATTGACACCGGGTTACTTTGGGTATAAATTTTTAAGCACTATTCCTGTTAAATGTATCTATTCTTTGGCACATCAGAATATGTCATAATGATGACTGATTTTTTAAATTAACAAGAGGCCCACATGAGCCTGTATCAAGCACATGGTTAGCATAAACTTTTTATTTTCAAGTATAGTTCCAATAAAACTTCTTCCTTAAGACAAATCTGATTTCACTTGTAAATATCAAAGTATTAATACATTGTATTACTTGCCACAGGCCTTGAATACCACTGTTTGGTACATATGATTGACAGAGTAAGGATGGATGAACAGATGAGGATAAATCTATATGGCATTATGCTCTTATCAGATCATTGGAAGGGGGCATAACAAATTATTTTGTACTTAAACATTTTTATCAAAGTAAATAATACATGACACATGCATGACTACATCATCGTAATATGAGATATATTTCATATTTTGTGCATTACTAATCAAATATAATATCATCATATATCAAATTCCAATTCTTTTACTTTTAGTTACACATTACCCCAGATATAGATTGCCACAGCAGTGACATCTTTTCTATATCTAAAGCTCTACAACTTCATATATGAATTGGCCTACCAACTGCTTTAATTTTGAGCAACACTGATGAGTCTTATGTAGATGAAACACTCATCTGGCATACAAAGTTATAAGAATGGTATCTTTAAAAAGTTTTTACAACCAATGGGTCGATGCCACTGCTCATGGATGTTCTATTCCCAAGGGTATCACCTGCCCAGTAGTCTGGTATCTTTGATGAGTTTAATGCCACTGCTTGTGGACGTTTCACTCCCAAGGGTATCACCTGCCCAGTAGTCTAGTATCTTTGATGAGTTTAATGCCACTGCTTGTGGACGTTTCACTCCCAAGGGTATCACCTGCCCAGTAGTCTAGTATCTTTGTTGAGTTATTAAAAAGTCTGGCATGCTGTAATATTGGAATAATTTAAAGGGCAATCAACTTTGAAACTAGGGTCAACTGGAACATGTAAGGTGCACATGTTTAGGTACTCATCTAAAAACTTAAACCTAACTCCTAGGTCAAGTAGCACTCTGCCAATGGGCATCTGATTTATACTATAGTATGTCTAAAATATGGTAACCACAGGTGACTTCATCAATCACTCTTGCTCGTGTTAAATGAATCACTATAAAAAATACTCTTATTTAAGGTACAATGTAAGACCAATATCGATGTCAACTAACCAGAGAGATATTTCAGAGTGTATCACTTCATCAATAATCATCTCCAAACGTGACTTTACAAAGAATTACCTTGTGAGAACTGTACAATGTATGTCAATCACATATTTAGAAGAAGACAGCTGCTTTTGGGAACTCAAAACACATGCCATCATTAAAAAAGATGAGTGGCTCAGGGGTTTATAAGACACTGACAGGACATGTGAGCCCATAATCCTGTGAAAGAGAGGCGAAAGATTCCAAACGAACATTCAAACTCATAAGTTGAAATAAACTGACAACGCCATGGCTAAAAAAGAAACAGACAAACAGACAAACAACAGTACATAAAACACAACATAGAAAGCTAAAGACTGAGCAACACGAACCCCACCAAAACTGTGAAGATCCTGAATAACATATGATGATACAGTACTGAGCAGTATTATGTACAGGTTGGTTGAATATATATGTCTTTGTAAAAATCTTGTAAACGATGTATGGAATTATTCATGTATTAGTCACAGATATATTAGCATTTCTAAAATGTACACAAAATGTTTCCTTGTTTCCTTGTTACTTACATGAAGACGACAACCATCATCTACAGGAAACGAACCAAACATAACTTCATCATTGTCTATTTTACTCAGAAGCTTGTTGTCTTTACTGTATAGCTCTAACTTCATGTTGGCTGCTTGGGAACCAGTTAAAAGCTCTAATTTGTTCTAAAAAATAATGAAAAAATGTTCCTGGTGAAATCTATTATTCATTGTACATTAACAAACTTATATCATTTTAATTTGTCTAATAAATAAGTAAACAACACAGTTATATCTCAAGAATATTTTTCATTAAATGATAAAAAAAAGTTCACAAATGCCTCTGTTATGAAAGTTACTTGTCATTCTAAAATAAATTTTATATACAGGAGTCATAATGATCTATTTCTCACATATCTTTACAGTGCTCTCCATCCTGATCAATTCATTTCACTTATGGGAACAAAGTAGCCTTATAATATAAAGAATGTTATGTCATGCTGTTACACCACTATCTCAGGTTAACATGGTTAAGGGAGGGTTGAGCTAACAAAAATGTTTGCCCCTGCCACGTTCATCATCACAGTGCTTGTTCTTATTCAGAAGCCTGTAATTCAGTGGTTATCCTTGGTTGTTGTCTGCCATATTTGTTTTTCATTTGTTGGTTTTAGCATAAATCAGGCTGTCATGGCTGTTGGTTTTCTCTTTTGAATTATTTAACATTTTGTCATGCCTGAGCCTTTACTAAATTTCAATATATAATGACCTATAGTTGTGTGGCTCTAACATAGTCAAATCTGACCTTTGACCTTGGAGTCTTTGTCAGGGGACCTTGCAGCCTGACATCTCATTTAATAGGGCCTGTGACCTTTAACACAGGTTTATTGTTAAGCATAAATCTGATTTTCTATTATAGTCGATCATTGGGACACCACTAGGCCCTTACCATAAAAGATATTGTAAACACATTGATATCTTTGTAAAATATTTATCAAACAGCAAAATATCTGTTTGGGTAAAGTCTTCGCTTACATCTAAATATTAATGACAAGATCTCAAAATGAGGTTATTTTGGCAGTAACTGCAAGAAGTTTAAGAAGCCCTGATCTAATATGTACATGTAAGTCAAAACGTTAAAATGTAAGCATGACATATGCAAGTTAAACTATTTTGCGTGAAAACAGGAAACGAAGTCGGGCGGGACATGTGAAATTACAAGCGCTATTATTATAATGATAAGCGGGATACAGGATTCTGACAATACAATAAGCGGGATCTGGGACCAGATCCACCCGCCCATGAGACACCCTACTTTTTACAATATTTGAACAAGAAGTTACACCCATTGTCATGCTATGCATATCCCTACTCATAATTCAAAGCATCAGAAACTGAAAAGCAGGAATTAAGTGTCTGACAGATCAAAATACTATTTCGGATGTAACAATAATAGGGTAAAGCTGTTGATTAATGTTCAGTAGAACCAAAGAAATGTGTTACCAATATATTAATTTATACAACTATTTCAAGAAAAAATTCACCTTATTGCATTCCTGTAAAAATAATATGAGGCAGGTGTAACAGTAAACCAATGTGAAAGTATGCAGTGCATAATATTTACATGATACTTTTAGTCACGAGATAAATATACAATAAAAAGGAAATCACACACTTTACTTCTGTCAACTATATGATCTAGGGAGCTGGCATAGAGTGCGGGAGGTAGTGACGGTATAGGGTCCGTTCGCTCCCAATACACGTTCGCACCCTATTTTTATTCAAATACAGGTAAAATTATCAGATGTTTTTTTAGATGTATATATGTATATTTAGTTTATATTTCCATGAATAAAAATTCGGAATTAATAAATGAAATATTTTTTTAATGATTTGATGAATAAATATTAATTTTGAATAATTGTTTGAATGTATGATATCATTGTGAATAAAAATAAATTAAATTTATAACAAGTTCTTCTTTACCCTCAAGCTTCTTTTCATATGGAAATAGATGCTCTATATTGTAAATCAGGATAGCTGTAATACAACACCTAATAAGCATATACATTTTTGTATCTATAAGTACATATATGCTAACTATATTTTGCACCGAAAATAGGACATACATGTATCTACATGATCTAACTTCAATCTTCTATACACATGGAAATAAAAGCTCAGTAGGTACTTATAGCTGATATACAACACCATGAACATCTAAAAAACATGTGATTTGTGGCCCGGTTTTTGTTTTTCTTCGTTGTTGTTTATAGAATGGCACTTTATTTTGAAACAATAAAGAAACTTATTTATTGCAAAACACTTACTAAAACTCGATTAAAAATTATCCAACACAAAACCAATCAAAAGGGTGCGAACGTGTGGGGTGCGAACGTGAAAGGGGGCAAACGTGAATGGGAGCGAACTTGATTTGGTAGTAAGTATCCCCTAACATGTCAAAAGATGTGAATATTGTATTTCCTATTCAGTTCAGTCAGAATAAATATGTCTAATAGAATGGGCCAGCCATTCAGTCTAGAACAAAGTAGGTTTCTTATCTATGTCACATCAGAATGTTTTTGTCATGATATGCATCTAATACTTGCCACTGAACTTAACAAGAGGATTGTAGTTGTGGGACAGAGAAAACAAGTTATCTGGTGTATCTTATTATATTAATCATCTTGGACCTTAATTTGATTACAATAACATTTGCTCTCACATCAAATGATTTTGGGAAAGACTAAGTCATCATCAAGAAATTATTGTTTACATTAGCTACCTTCAAATCTGCAACTGATAAATCTTTTTGAAACCTTCGTTCTGTTCCAAAAGAATTTGCTGAGCTTGTAACATTTATAGTCACAGAACTTTGCGTGATTACAGAAAACTGAGACATTTTTGAAAATCAAATAGAAACAATATTCTAGAATAATCACAACATAGACATGTGCTTTGAACTCGTCTAAACGAGATCACGTTCATTATCACATGACAGCTCATTACGTTGCATTCTATTTTTACCTAGAGGAAATAATTCTTGTTGCGAAACTGTTATTTTGATGTATTAAGACATAATGTAGCGTTATATTTAACATAATAACTTGGATTCTGCTTTGTCGATTAGAACCAAAGGACAAAATGATGTCATGAACGAGAATTCACGTTAGAGAACATGGCGGCCACTGAAAAACAGTGGTTTGTTGGTGAAGATGGATGTATATCCGTTGGAGAACCAACAAGAAGTGTAACATACAATTCCGCCTTGAATTCAATTATTGTATCAACTAAGGAACCATCAGTGAAGATTTATGATGTAGCTTCCGGCGCTATACTCCAGAAATCGAATGTATCGGGTACATATAAACACCCCCCTTTTTGTATTCAAAGTTTTTACACACACATCCTGGTCATCTGACCCTGCATTTACCATCAGATGGATCAGTTTATTAATAAATATGCAGTAATCTAAAAAACTGCTAGCCTTGTAGTATAAAACTTGCAAACTGAATATTGAAAAAAATATTGTTTTACAAATGCATGATCATGTCTTCTCACAGCACTACCCACAAAAACCACATGGTATACCTGATATATATCTATATTGAACCCTTCTATGTGCACTGATCAATAAAGAGTATGTGAATTTGAATAAAATATGAAGTTTTCATTGTTCTCTCAAGAATTTTTGACCAGGTTGGGGAAGATCCCCTAAAATGGATTTTATTTGCATTTATGGGTATTATACCCAAAATCGGGTATCAATTTACAGTGTATAAAATCAAATTATTTATTTCATCAAGATAGCCGCCATGGCGCAAATATTTATATAAATGGCAACATTTTTCCAATCCAGAAATAATGGCCTCCAAAACTCCAACATTTTGAAGGGTGTTAACTTTTATCCTGATGATATTTTAGTCATGGTGTCTGTAGACAAAATGTTGTCCTTTACCTGAATGTTTGCACTGTGACAGAAAAATTTTGTGTAAATCAAAAGTTTATGTTTTGGTCACTGAAAATTGAAACCCGTTTTGGGGTATAATAGTACTCATTTATGACGATCCACCCTAACCTGTTGAAGTTGCTTTCCTGTCTATCACTTAGCTTTTCCCAACAGCAAAAGAAAAATCTGTTTTGTAATCAGTTATCATTTTTACCAAGTTGATGAAATGTCAATTTTTCATTTATAAGTAAAGAAATTCACAGACATAAACATTTAATTTGAACATTATGAAAGCCTTTACTTTAAAGACTGGTTGTATGTTAGTTCAAAGTAACCATATTTTATGCAAATAAATCTAAGCATTTTTTATCACTTCTTGCATTCATTACTTAATTCTACATCAAGTGATTCATATTTTTCGGCAAAAGAAACTTGTTACTTCATTAAAACCTGAGTCAGATATATCAGGTTTTACCATTATACCAAGCAATGAACGAAACAGAAGTCAATATCTGGAATAAATATTGACATATTTTTTTTTAAAGCATTTTCTGACAGGACTTGGCTAGTGCTAAATTAATGCATAGTTCTTGAAAAAAATCATGTCAGTCATTTGGGCTGAAATTAATTTTGCTTTTGAAAATCTGATAAAAAAATTTGTCAGTCCAATTTTTTTCAACAGGACTAGGAAAAGTTATTAAGACTTCTTAAAATGTTATGGTAAAAAAAGTTTTTGTTGTATATATATTTGCTAAAAAAAACTAATGTTTAATTCATGTTTTTATTTAATTCATTCATATTCTTCATGTTCTTGATATCTTTACATTTCAATAATATCTCATTCTCATTCTGTTCACAATTTGACTGACTATCAGTCCCTCCCTGCTTCACTTTTAGTAAGTAAATTTTATCTAGAGTAGACACATGTTTGTACAATAAACATGAGCTTAAGTCTTCGCAACTACCAACTACCAACTATAAGTCAGTATATAACTCTTTGTCTCTGGTCTGTCACTTTCTTTCCAATTCCAATGTCCTACCACTCTCAGTCTGACATCTCAATTCAACCTCTCTCAACTTCTCAGTTCAACCCCTCTCTCGTGTTGTAATTTTCCCTCTTTATGTCGCATTTAATTTTGCCATGTACTTCTTTTTTTTTATCATTGGAACTCTCGTGTTTTATCATATACAAGAGTGAAGAAATCTGAATGCCAAAGTTTTGGGACAAACTAATACAGTGATCGGTACCTGGAATGGACCTGAATATCCGGATAATAGAAAGATCACAGAAATTATATAATATTGGACACCTGGAATGTCATATGGGACAATTTTGTTTGACCTTTAAATATTTTACCGGCCAAACCAGGGCTTCCAAAACGGTTGGCTTGTCTGGCAAATTATATAAACGACTTGTGCCAAGGCTGAAACGGACATTTTAACATAGTTAAAAAAAAATTGAAGTTTATGTGATCTTTTTGACCTGACCATTTGCCTTAAACAGCCACAGATTTCCGGTCATATAAGTGACATGATGAATAATTAAGTACTATCAAAACAAACCCTACTTTAATACCCTCTCATTTCAATCAAGGTAAGTTAGTTCTCTGACAGGTGAAATTTACCTGTTCAGGCGACAGGTAAACTATTTTGTACAGGACATTGATCGTTCTATTAAAAGTTATTTTCTTAAATTCCAGCAGTTTGCATCTAATTGATTTAGTCAACAAGATTTAGATTATCAGAAAACGTATATATATATATGATTTGATGAAAATTTAAAAAGGTAGTAATAAAGGTTTTAAGTGAAAAATCGTCAGAACCATGTTGTTTGAACAAGTGCATTTGTGCGCAGGTGTGAGATTTAATTATGTATCAGAATTTTCAAAAATGCTTGAAATATCATTGATACCTGTTTATCTACGTTCATTTCGAGTATTTTCCTGAAGAAATAACGCGGTAAGAGCTACTTAAACTCAATCGTACTTTGTAAACATACACAGATTTTACGTATCCGTCTCTGGTCCTTGTTTTAATATTAAGTCAACATCCAGTATTAGGAAAATGTACTTTATAAAAACGAAAGCGAAGTTATTGACAGCGTAATATTGCACAAATAAAGAGTCTAAGGCAAATATTAGTATGCTGATGTTGCACACTTCGAATTGTGAACTGTCAATTTAACAGTTGAAGCCAGAACATTGAATTTATATAAAAAATCGAGTTAAATATCATTTTTTGTGTCAATCATAATTTATATGATGCCCAAATGACTACTATGGTTGCCTTTTGTTACTGAGTCTTAAAGGGATTAAAATCGGGATAAGACAAAAGAAATGTCGGGCTGGCTCAAAAATTTTTTGGAAGCCCTGGGCCAAAAAAAATAAAAACACTTTTCAAGATTCCCTGTTTACTAGGATGCTATATTTGAGGGGAGGACACTGTCCAAGACCATGACAAACATAGGCACATTAACAAGAACCCTGTGGACATCAGATCCGTGGCAAACATACCATACTTGGTTTGAAAATGTCCCTTGCCCTTGGAAATACACCATTAATGGAAAAGTCTCATTTTCAAACACAATCTGATGTTATTCAATCTTTGGTGGATAATACAGAAAGATCCCTAGCACATTCAAGGTCACAGCAGCAATCAATAAATTGATATTTGGCAAAATTTTGGCTGTCAGATAATATCTTTTAAACCATACATCCAATCATTACCAATGTAAGCTTGAAAATAGCCCTTGAGAAGAGAAAATACAAATTGGGTAAAGTTTAGATTTCAGGCAAACAGCTGTTTATTCTACTACCACTCAATAAAGAGAAAAAATGGACCTTTTCAATCTACTTATGTGTTTTTGATAATTTGAATGTTTTGCTTATGAAATTTATTGATATAATATAATCATTTAGATAAGATTTTATATGTTTTAGCTCATGGGTCTGATGCTGTTAGATGCATTTATTTACCAGAAAGCAATAGAGTGGTGTACTGCGATGAATCATGTATTGGAGTGCGAAGTGATTTGAAGGGGATGCTGTTACTGGATACAGCTTTGCAAGCTCCAGTAAAGAAAAATGAAGAAAAAGTGAAAGTAGAAATCCCTTTGGCTGAGGTTAGTTAAAGTTTTGATATTTTCTGTAAGAAATGACATTGTATCAACACAACAAGTATGCAATGTACCTTAAAAGTTTTCAGTGGTTCAATGATCCATCTTTTTATGAAATCATAAATAGAACATTAAATCTGCTGTAATCATTATGTGTGTTTTCAGTTAACCATGAAAATAAAAAAAAATCATATCAAGATGTGAAACTTGAATATTAAAATCAGGGGTCACCATACCAGGCGAAGTGAGCGACATTATTGTCCTAGGATTGTCGACTTTACTCTAAAGAAGATCCAAGGAGAAGTTTTTGTCGCCATCATTTTGGTAAAATTTCCCAATGTCTCATGATTTTTGAAAAATTCTCTATCCAAATGTATTTGACGAAATAAATATGGTATACCCAAATTCAGTCTTGAATTGTCCACAGTCTTTTCCTCCTAAATTTAAATAACCAGACAGGGTATGGATTATAGAGTATTATAATAAAAAAAAACAAAAGAAAAACTTGATTTTGCGACATTAGTTAAGGTCTGCCATGTTTGTTGTTGAAATTGTAGAGGGTTCCCTTATTTCTTTTCAAAACTCGTAATAATTTACTTAAATAAGTAATCCATACAAATCTATTTATAAGTTTATGGAGAAGAAAACATCATTATAATATCTTATTTCTGTCAGAATTTAAAATAGAATACAAAGAGCAGTACATCTGCAATATTCAGATTTGGAGGCCTTTGGGTAGATACACGTACAATAACAAAAATAAGAAATAGAAATATATTAATGTCTAGCTGCATTATATTATACTTACTAATTTGTTTCAGGCAACACATTTACTGAAGTCTTTAACAAGTGCAGAACTTCCAGGTGTAGACAATGTTGACGAAGTAGTAAAAGAATTGGAAAAGGGTATT